GTAAACTTAAAATGCAAATGTTTTGTTTTTGTTTTTTAGGGGTTTAAAGTATGACCGTTTTTATGCAAAAAAATCTAAATTCATAAGTCCTTCGGACTCTTGAGGTGCCTTTTTTTGCGGGTGGACTTGAAGACTTGAAACTGTATGAATAGAATTCCCGACTATTATCAAAATCATTGGGGTACAGAAAGGCAGGAAAATTACATATCCGGTGTGGCCATTCAATTTTGGATATTTGAAGAAAATCGCCGTGTTGATATCAACGAACTATGTGTCATTGTCGTATTGAAGAAAAGCAAATTTGGGATATTTCTTTGAAAGAAAAGATTCAAAGAAGTTTTGATAGATAATTTTACTTAATTAATTAATTTTCAAAAATAAACGTCTACTGTGACACACACTAAATCTTGATATCAATAAAATATTGCAAACAAACAGGTGGTCGATGAAAAAAAGTAAATAAAATTTGGAAAGAATACACATTTTTGATCTTTATTTCACCTGTTGCCTTTTTGTTGTTTAATAGAAAATTTGCTATTGTAATAGTTGCATTACAAGCTAAAGATTTTTGATGCAATAAATCTTGGTACACTGAAAGGTAAAGATAGAGATGGGGCAAAAAAAAATGTGAAAAAGGTTTATCGATTCGTTTTTTCGAATTTTCAAATCGACAGATCTAAATGAAGCGAAATTACGTCTTTTGGGTTTCTAAGTACAAAATTTTAAGCCGAGTCTTCATAAAATTTAAGTGCATTTAACTTCGTTTATAGATCAACTTAATCTTTTCATAAATAAGAATTTATGATTGTTAATTATGAAGTGGGTGTTATTATCGAGCTAATTGCGGTCGTTTTCTCTTTTTTTGATGGCAAATTGAAGATGATCACAACGAGGCTGAAAGTGATTGCCGTCGAACAATTTGGCTCAGCCAAGCAATAATTGTAAGAAATGCGTTCTCAAAAAGCTAAATACTAAATAAAATCCAGGGGCTCACCCTAGTGCGGAATGCATAAGAAACGGGGTCAACTCGAGAAATAAATAATAGAAAATTGGCAATTCTCTCGTATCGGTCATCAACTTTTTCGCCGCATAGAAACCGATAGCAATGAGATGAGTGAGCACTAACTGAATAAGTACTCTAACATTCATAACAAATTAGAAGTTTTAAAAAGGAACATTGTTACAAGCAGATTTTGCCAAGCCTTCAAGCGTCTAGTAGAGCTGAGAAACGTTTAATTTACTCTTTGCAAGGCTTTAAAAAGAGGGAACAAACCATAAACGAAAGTCGAATATCGGCACGACGCTTCAAAACATTCGATTGAGTCTAAATATCTCTTCTTGAAAGTAACATAATGTTATTTACAAATTTGCGAACTTTCCACAATGTTAACAAGTCTATGCAAAAGGTGGTCCCTTGAACTGCATATACAAAATAGTAAAAATTTTTTTTCAAAAATAAAGTTAGTGAGCCGGATGAATATGAAACAGTTGTACAGTAATTGAGAGGAGTGAAGAAATAACCGGCATAGCAGACGAAATCCGTTTTTAAGTTCCTTACTAAATTAAGAGTCCTGTTAGTTTTATGCTAATGACTGTTGTCTTTAAATTCAGATTTTGGCAGTATTTCTGACTGATTTGAGATAATCGCAAACCCACGAATTCCAACTTGAGCCAAATACACTCCCACTGGCATCGCTGTCAGAAAAGTCGCATGTGGCAAAGCTAGTTTTTGCATTTTATAATACAAAAGTCCATCGAAATAAACAGCAAAGAAACTGGAAATGCGTTACATTGAAGTAAAATTGCAAATTAAATTTACTTCCAATTGACTTAATTTACCGATTCATCGATATCCCACTTCCCAGCATCGTCATCGAAACACCCATTCCAATATTTATCCCGGAAATTATCTGATTCAGTACCAGACCCGTGAATGGATATCTATCGACGTTCATACATTCCCAACTGAAATTATCCTCAATTTTTGCTTTTTATTTTCATTCACAAACGTCAAAACACAATATCCTTTATAAAGTTGAATCAGTGCTCCATAAAAACGACAAAAACAATCGAACACCAAATAACATCTAGCCGAACTCGAGAGATGGGTGTTTTTGTAGAGCACATAACAACAATAACCGTTGAGGGTCATCCCAAGAATGGCACACTGAATTCTACGATTCTCAAGCACATCAATTCATTTTTTTAATACTTGTCCATAAAATTCGCATACCTGATTTGGACAAGTTCAGTCAAATTTTACGAATATGTGATATTAGGTTGTCCCATAAAAACCCAGAGATTTTGAATTTCATTTATTTTCAACACATAGGAACAACGAAGAATCAGAATCAAATTATATATTTTCCAGATGAATTTCTAACTTTTCTCGAACGTTTGGGTAGCTTGCCAATCCCTCGTTCGTAAAACCCAAGCGGCGAAAATAGTCGTTCAATCCGTTCTCGAGTTCGCTCTCATCTTTGAACTTTTTACGACGTAAGAAATTCTTTAGCGATAAGAACAAGTGATATTCAGTAGGGGCAACGTCCAGAGAATACGGTGCATTAGGAAGGCTTTCCAGTGTAGGTTGTTCTTCACAAGATCGATTGATCTTTCTGATTTGTGGGAGCTTGCGCCTTCCTGAACAAAAGAACAAAAACGCGGCCGCTCCATTTGTTTCCATAGAGTAACCTCCCGACTTTTTGTATATGACGTAGATAACCATCGATGTTAAAATTTTGTCTCGGTTTGAGAAGTTCCCAGAAAAGGTCGCCTGTCGAACACCAGCAGAAACACAACATTCGCTTCTTTCCGTGGATTTTCCGTTTTGGCACCGTTTTCCCTACTTGCCCTTTCTTCAACCACTGCCATTGTCACACTTGACCATCATAGAAAATTCACGTTTTATCGTGAGTGATGATGTTCGAAAAAGGAAACCGACCATGTCGGAATTCGCTCCACAAGCAGTGGCATGGATTGTTTCCGACATTTCGTATGGGATTTGGCGTTGTTTTCTCCAATTTCTTCTCATTTTCCGCAGCCATCTCCACACAGTCACTCGTTCACAGCAACGTTCAGCGAATTTTCGGGTTGATCCATCGGGGTTTGGCAGAAGTCGGTGCCTCAGAATCGATCGATCCACCTTCCGGGGTCGGCCTCTTCCCCTTTTCCGTTTGATCCTCGTGTTGCCCGTGTCGAATTTGTGAAACCATCCCGGTGCAGTGCTCGTTCCAACGATTCTGTTGCCATAAAATTGATTGATTTCTCGTGCTGCTTTGGCCGCTGAAATCCCTCTTGAAAATCGTTGGAGTAGTTGGGCGTGGATTTCTTCTCGAGTTGGCTTCATTTAATCGACTGCAACTCTCTTCTCATGTCAATCCCTAAAAAATAAATGTTAGTGCAAGAAAGAAGAAAGTTTTGGCATGAAAAAGAAAAGAAGAAAAATACAAAACGTTGTGTTGTGAGCGAATAATAATCAAAACAAAAATCTCTGAGTTTTTATCGGACAACCTAATAATACTTATTTTCTACACCATACGACTAAAGCAACTTTATAATTATGATCCATTGAAAAGAAGTTTTCTTGTAAAACTTCAGGTGCAAGTTCATTTCGCCGAAAAAAGAGTATTCTGCGCGCAATTCAAAAATGTGCAAATTCCATAAAATTGCTTATTTTGTGTTTTTTAAAAAGAACTAACACAAATAATCAAATCGGATAGCAATAGCAATAGCAAAAATCGAATCTTTAATGGATTGAGCCCTAATTTCTTTAAAGCATTGTTAACTTTAGTCAATTGTTTTGAATAGAAATCAGCATCAATGTTTTCTCGTGGATTGGCTAACTCATAGTGCACCAAACCTTTTGAGTTCCACCAGCAACAGAGCCTTATTTTCTTTTCATGAATATCAGGTTTGAAAGTGGTTTGAGGGGTTTTTCCGGTAGAGAGCCATTGGTTCTTTCTTTTGACATTCTCGTAATTAATCAGGACTAGCAAATGCAAATTTTTATTTAGTTTCTGAATCAGAAATCAGATAAAAAAATATGGACTTTGTAAAAAGTTAAGCTCGCAGAATACTCTTTTTCGGCGAAATACAAATGAGTCCCAAAACTTTGCTAGTTTCATTGAAGGAGAAAAAGCTCTCCTCTAAATAGTGCATCACTCACAACAAACATCGATGTCACCACCCATCCATCAATCGAATCATTTATATGGGCATTTATTGGTAATCCATTCCATCCATATAAGATCCCACTTTTTGTCTCATAGTTATAACCTGAGAAATTTGCACACGGAATGTCGAGATGATCACGCGAGTCATAGTCTTCGGTTGTTGGTTGGAAAAATGGAGCAAAAGTTGTGGATGATAAAAGATCGGAGAATGGATCGAAATCCTTCATATTTGTTTCAGAAATTCAAGTTTTCGATGAAAAGATTAACCCAAAAAATCAACTTCAGTTTTTATGCTGAGATTTTCCACTACCAGCAATTTCCATGTGACGAAGAAAGAAAAAATATTCAATTACAGGTTTTCAGAGAAATTGCGAGTGTTCTTTTGGTATTATTTTGGACAGCTAATATGCGGTTTATTAAAGGGCAATTCCTTTTTTTTCTTACAAGGGAACCACATATACTTACGGACACCGAAATCCCCCAAAACTGGTGGATAGGTAGTATATGAGGGTCAATGCACATGCCATGATAGGCATTTTTAAATAGTCGGCTGTTTCTTATTCTTGTTGCGAACTCGCAGTGCCATAGCTGTTTTATATAAAAGCCCTATACATCTTCTACAGATTCGTCTGGAACCCATAATGAAAAGCGGGATCATCCCAAAAACCAATATTTTGTTAAAATCCGACAACACGTCATTCAGAGAAAACGACTCGACAGATTGATTTAAAAATTTGAGTGTAGACGTAATTAAACATTCTCTACTTTTTTTGTTTGAACACCAAAGTAAGTTTGTTGGATGGAAATCTTTAAATGATCAACTCTCCATGAGCCAATTTTGACTGCTTAAGTTCGATCATTTGAAAAAGTGTGAAAATAAAAGCTTTCCCGTCTGGCTCAAAAGGTGTTTTGTAGAGAAAAGATAGGACTTTCTGATCTTTGAAGCCCCTACTATTAAGGATTTACTATTAAAGTGGGTTGAAAAGCGCCTCTTGAAAGAATACTGACATTTCATGTGCATTGACCCTATAGAATTGCTTCTGGAGAACAACATATTAAAAATTCAGCTGCAAAGCTCCAATTTACGGTAGGTATAGCAATTATAAACATTTCGCTTTCTATCGAGGTTCGACTTTCAACTTTTGCAAAATTGGTGTTTTCTTTTTGCTTTTTTCAAAAAAGACTCAAAATGTTGTCCAAACAGTTTTTTTAATGTCTCGGGAATGTGAAATACTACCTATACCTTTCAGTAGTAGTTTTCTAGTTTATATCATCATTATAAACGAAAAATGAAGTGTTCCAAAGATAGAAAAGCTTTTTCTTCTGAAAAAAAACCCAAAAACGCTTTCGTTTTCTCTGAAACTCTCGCCTTTCAGCTGTCTTTTCTCTTTTGGGCGTCCGAGAATCAAGAAAAAAACTAGTTTCCTCTCGTAAGCAAAATTTTTGAAACTCGCTAAGGGTGAAAATCCATTTTTTGTGAATCCATTCATCCAAAATCCATTTTTTGTAAACTTTTCACCACTTTGCAGACAATATTGCCTTGTAAATACTCAGAACTTGAAGTTTTGGCTTTTTTGAGACTTTTCAACGTTTGGAGAATTTTTAAAAAAGAAGCAAGCCGATAAAGCTATCGCTAAAAAAGCTTTCCGTTGAATTCCACGAAAATAATTTTTTTTCCGTTTTACGATAAAGTGACATTGTTGACTTGCAAATCGAAAAATTTATTTTGAAAAAATTTAGGTGTAAACCTGTGAAATTATGCTTTTTTTTTCAAAATTTACTTAAAAATTACCACTTTAAATTCCTTGTTTTTTCTAGAAAGACTATGTCAATTTTAGTTCCAATGGCTGATTCAGTTGCATCGTGGGTGGATGAGGAATCGAAGAAGAGGGATTCGGAATGGACAAGGGAAAGAAGTGAAGAGAAAAAGAAGAAAAAGGAGAGCTCTTCAGAGTCAAAAGTGAGTAAAATGAAGAAAAGTTTTAGAAGATTCTAATCTTATAATTTTTTTTTAGAACTCATCAGCGATGAAACATTTGGCGAAACGTCTCAAAGCAATTTATGAAGACGAGGGACTTGATTATGGTGACGTGGATGACGATGAGGAGGCGATTGTCGATCGATTTAGTGTTGGTTTGAAATATTAGCTTGAAAATTGAAAATCAGAAGAATTGAGAGAAGCGTTTACAAACAACTACTGAATTATTGAACTAAACCTTTTAGACTGCCACCAAGTTACGAAAGAAACGAGTGGCCGAAGTTTTTCGATCAATTCGACGCGCTCGAAATGTTGAGCTCTGCTTTTTGGTGGATTCAACTGGGTCGATGGGACCCCATATTCAAGGAGTCAAAGAATCAATTCAAAAAATCGTCGAAAAACTCACCGATTCTGGGCTGCATGTGTCTTTCGGAAGCAAGAAAGAAACTCCAGAAGTGCAAAATCTGAAGCTCGCTTTTATCGCTTACAGAGATTTCGGCGATCTCAATCAATTTGAAGTTTTGCCGTTTACGAATTCCACTTCGAAATTTCAAAACTTTTGCTTGGGAATTGAAGCAATAGCTGGTTTTGATCCGCCGGAAGATGTTTTTGGTGGATTGGAGAATGCATTAAATTTAAACTGGTCTGAGAATGCCGGAACAAAGGTGGTCTTTCATATTTGTGATTCACCATGTCATGGAAATGATTTCCATAACGATTTAATTGACAAAATGAATGATCGCTATCCATATGGAGATCCAAATGGAAGAAACCATCGAGACCTTTTTATGAGACTCAAAGCAATGGGGATTCAATATCATTTCGGAAAGATCACCAACTACACAGATCTAATGATAAGCAAGTTTTCGGAAGTCTATGGAGAAAAGATAATGGAGTTTGACGTGAAAAGAGTTGACGATATCAGAGAATCAGTGATCACAGCTGTCTCTGTATCTGTCTCAGCATCGATCTCTTCAAGTAAAGCAAGTTCAGGAATTCCACGAAAAGAACGGGAATACAAATTTGACAAAGTGGAACCAAATTGGGAGTTTTTGCCAGAGAGGAAGGGAAAATTTATGTCCTATGACTTTCCAGATAGCATCAAAGATGTTATAGATGATGTTCCACTGAATAGAAGACAATCAAAAACTGCAACGGTGAAAGTGGCAGGGAATCCATTTTCGAAAGGAGCTGAAAGAGTCGCATATTATGGATTGGATCTCTCGACTTTCGTTGATGAAAAGAAGAAGACAAAAAGCCTGGAATTAAAGCAGAAAAATGAGAAAATTGTATTGAAAGAATATCTTCATTTGGGAAAAGGAATGAACTCCGCAAAACGATACGAATTATCGAATCAAATGCAAACGATCGCCTCGTATTTGGCGCTAAAATTCAGTCAAGAATTGCAAGAAAAGTTGGGTACAGCTGTTGTTTTGAAATTTCTCAAGATTAAGACGATTTTCATTGGATCTGATAAAGGTGAGAAAATAAAAAAATAGATTAATTTTTACTTCCATTTCAGGAGAACGTTTCATGTCATGCGAGAGACGATTTGCAGAAACCGATAAATTCGTTCGATTCACCAATAATGCTTTCTACGGTTGGTTTCTTGGAATGACAAAAAAAAACAATTGACCCTTGGTCTAGTAAACAATGAACTTTCTTCACTTTTCAGAACTCACCGAGAAGAAAGCCATAGAATTGGGTGTTTCCGTTGATCTTGTCCATCAGATTATGGCTTTCTCACATTGGACTTATAAGGTCGACTTTGGATCATTGATTATTAAGATTTATCGTTGACCAACCGAGAAACCCGCCTAACGGCGGGTTTTTCGGATGTTTTGGGGATGAGCGGCTTTTGCCGCCGTGAAACCGTGGAGCCGGTCTATCGCCCATACGATCCGGGTTCGACCTCCCCGTGCGACGCGAATTGTGCTTTTTAAAAAATCCAAAAGCACGTTGCACAACTACATGTAATTCTCTATTCAACGGCCCAAAAATCATTGCAAACGGCCCTCTGGGGGCTGAGGAGTAGCGTGCACAGACAGACAGACGTCTTAGTCCATTTATATATAGTAGATATTCAATACAATTTATGATTAGATGTAGAAAAAAACTTATAGAACAATAGTACTATCAAATTTCACGTTTTCACAATAAAACAGATTATATATTGGATTTTTTAAATTTAATACGACTCTACGATTTAAATGACTATTAACTAGTTTTCATATAATAAATTTATAGATTCGTCTAAAAACGAATTTCTAAAAGGTATAAAACCATAATCTAATGAACAACTTCAGGTAACAAAAGGCTTTCTGATGGTTGTTGACTTGGAGGGAATCATCAGCAAAGAGATTTCAACGGGAAAAACGATTGTCATTCTGACCGATCCAGCCATTCATTGCAAAGATGTGACACGATATGGAAAAATGAACCATGGACCGGATGGAATAAGTGGATTCTTTTCGAAACATTCTTGCAACCGTTTTTGTTCAATTTTGGGATTAGAGGGCACTCGACCAAGAAAGGATTCTGATTAAGAATAAATGGACTTTTTAAATACAGCGCTTTTTCACAAATTTTCTCTTTCTTTGGCTTTCAGTGAATCCTTTCTCCTTTCTTTGATATTTTTGGTATGAAAAATAAAATACAAGATCAACCATTTGCTAATTAAGAATCTTCACAAAGAGTCAAAAGTGCAAGTACCGCACAAAATCATTGAAATTTTGTATTTTTGATATGAGTATAATTCGCCAAGATTTTTGTTAAAAACCGACAAAACGTCACTGAGAGAAAACGACTGCATAGATTGATTTAAAAATTTCAGTGTAGACGTAATTAAACATTCCAAATCTAAACATTTTTATTTGAGCACCAAAGTAAGTTTGTTGGATGGAAATCTTTAAATGATCAACCCTCCATCAGCCCGTTTTTCACTAAGTTCGATCATTTGAAAAGTGTGAAAATTAAAGCTTTCCCGTCTGGCTCAAAAGATGTTTTGTAGAGAAAAGATCGGACTTTCTGATCTTTGAAGCCCCTAGGATTTACTATTAAAATGGGTTGAAAAGCGCCTCTTGAAAGAATACTGACATTTCATGTGCATTGACCCTAAAGCCTCAGCATAAAGACGTTCTATTTTTGGGTGCAATGACGTACTTGTATTCATCCCGTGTATCACGAATGTTTTAATGAAGTGCAGTACCCCAGAATTTAAAAATAATGGTTTTTTAGTATATTCAGTTATTCTTAAATTTTTCTAAACCTTTAAATTTCGTAGATTCCTGTTTTTTGAGTTGTTTTTTCTCTCCGATTTACAACGGTTAGCTTTACAAAATTTTTACGAGTACCCTTTAGTTTGGTGATTCATTTTTTGTAAAAAAAGTTGTGATAGTGTAGATTTCAAAGATTAAACCCGGTAAACTTTATTTTGTTTCATAATAAAAATTTACGCTTTGGGCTTTTGGACTGTTTCGAAATACAGGCGCTGAAAGTGAAAAAGGCGGTTGAGAGCCTGGCTGCAGGGGGTATAGCTCAGTGGTAGAGCATTCGACTGCAGATCGAGATGTCCCCGGTTCAAACCCGGGTGCCCCCTATCCTTTTTTTGACTTTTCCATGAAAAAGTATGGTGCTTTATAAAGGCAAAATTGGCTACATACAACTCACAAACCAAAATGTTTACTAGCTTTTTGGATCTCACTATCAACAACCTCATTTTCAAAAATAGTCTGTAGTTTAACAAATAGGCAATCTTCTGTTAAAAAAGATACGGTAAGTTCTAAAACTTTTCCAATTCTGTGCACAATCATGACCGCATTTTCCCCACACTTTTGCTCTTATCAAAGACCAGCGTGAAGGTCAATCAAATCACCAAAAACTTTCAGTTTTACGCCATCTTTTCTCAGTTTCTTCAATGGGAAACGATTCGATCCAATCATCTCTGGACTTCTTTGCATTGTGACAAGCCACAAAATGATACAAGAGTGAAATTTGATGTCGAAGTCTAGCGTGATCTTTGAAGCTTTTGATCAGAAGAATGAGATGGTCTTTGAAATTTGGAAGGAGAAATCGACTAGAGTACTTTCAGCAAGTTAAAATTTTTTCAAAGCTCATTTCAGAAACTTCTTGTTACCTAGATCGTAGTGTCAAAGAAGGCTAAAAAAGGTTATTTGGTGTGGTACGTTTTGCTCCTTCAAAGGCGGGAAGCCGTCAAATACAAAAGAACCGGTTACGACAGATCAAAGGAGGAAAAAAGTCCACCTGCTTTGATTAAAAGCCCAAAAACAAGTGGGTTTTATTTACGACATTAAAGGTTTAGTGCTACAACTGAATATCTTTAAATCATTACAAGACTTTGAAATTGCTTGGTTTGTTCATTTTTTAAACTTTTCTCTTGAGCTTTGAAGTTAATATATGAAGGCAAAGTATGCATTTTTTAATAACATCTGATAAACCACTAAACAGTTTGAAAATTCGCATTTTAAATGTAAGAAGTTGAATTTTTCCTTCTTCAAAGCTTTTCCCTTTCATCATGTTTTAAAAAATTTAATTTCTTTTCTATTTTCAGATGCCCGACGCTTTAACAATTTCGACTTTGTTAGAAGATCTCGTCAAACAAGGACACAAAGTACAAAAAGAGCTACGGTGCAACATTTGGTGAGTTTGAGTTTTTTGTTTTCAAAATCATTCTATTTTTAGTTTTTCAATCCCTCAGCAGCCATGTCTAACAACTTGTAACCATCTAATTTGCAAGTATGTTTTAGTTTTATTATACAAATTTATTCGTTTTGTTTAGACCTTGCTTTGATGGATGGATGAAAGAAGGAAAAGGGCCGAAACATTGCCCTGTTTGCAAGTTTGTGATAGATACGAGGTTTGTTTTGTTTGAGGTATATTTTAAGGCATTTACATTTTCTAGGTATAGTATTGCTAGGAGCGACTATTAAAATTGAATTGTTTAGTCTAAAAAGTGTTCGAGAACTCTTACTACACGGTACTACTTATCTTGGAAAAAAATTTGAAGCTATTGGTGACTGGCACCTAGAAGGAGTATTCTGAATGCTGAATTAAAGTTTTGATTCAAAAACTTTTTCAGAAGAAACGCTGAAGTCGACTACTTGAAATCATGGACTAACAAATATCTACAATTTGCGAAGACGTTTATGAAAGAAGTGGCCACATACGCGCATACTTTCGAAGACCCTTTTATGGAGAGCCAGGTTGGATTTTTTTAAACATACTGAATAAAGATTTTAGGTGGTCTTCACACAAATGCCAACTCGTACACCTGATCGACTAAAAGAAATACCGATCCATTCACTGGAGCAATTAATGCAACCTCTAACACCTCTCGAAATTTTTGACGATGACGATGACGTTCTACCGCCTAGCCCTGAAGTTTTACCGCCAGCGCGAAAGAGAAAACGGAAAGTAGGAACTTTGGTTTCTTTTAATGTAAAACTTTGTTAAGACTTCTGGCCGAAAAGAAAAGACGATAAGCCCCTATTCTACTACTCCAGTCAAGCCAAGTACGCCATTGAAGTCAAGACAACAAAGGGATTGTTTTCCTACGGAAGATACACGCGTTGTACAAGTAAGTTACGGGTTTTGATGCTAGCAGCTCTTTGATCTTTGAGTTCAAAAGAATTAAAGCTATTGGTGATAATTTTAGGACTCAACTCAAACGAATTTAAAGCAAGTTTCGCGTGAAACCCAAACTTTGGAAACTTCAAACACCACAATCGATTTAAATGGCTTGTTAGCAGGTTTCTATTCTTTTTGTTTAGAAAATTGAGCTATTTAGATGGAGATGCGCCCATCACACTTCGTTCCATATTCACAAACGTGACGGGGTTAGAAGAGGCTTTAAAGAAGGTTTTATTGAAAATATTTCGCCAATAAATCATTTTTAGAACATTGATGAATTGAAGTCTTGGGTAAAGGAGAATAGAAACGATGACGAGGAAATGGTTGAAGCAGCGGATTTGCAACATATTGAGGTCACGATTGATTTGGCAACATTAAATGTGTGGGTTTTTAGAATGTTTCGAAGCCCGTTGTATTTTTTTGTGGATTATCCGATTTTGATGAAGAGGTATGTCTACCATTTTATTATTCAGCCTTTGAAATAAATTAAACGATTTCCTTTCAAAAATGCTAAATGGTAGTATCGAAAAGCTTAACAATTAAGGAGAAATGACAAACTTTTAAGAGTTCATCGTTATTTTCTTTATCTGAACTTTATATTTATATATATCTATATATTGTTATAAATTATCTTTTAGGACTTGTGTTCCGAATTTTGCTTCGCTTTTCACAAAGAAGTTGAAATTACTCGAAGCTTAACGAATGCACAATGTCTCGTCGTTATGGGGAAAAGTGAGTTTCTGATTAGTATGGCTTGGTGGATGATTATCGGTGCAAATATTATAACTTCTTAAAGCATTGATTGTATTTATCTTGGTAAATTCTTTAGGAGAATATGCTGAACATTCACTTGCCTATCGAACAGCAACAACCAAAGGAATGAGGATCATCGATGGAAGATGGGTCAGAGACAGCTTAAGATGTCAAAAGCTCTGTGATATGGTGAATTTTTACAGTAATTCCTCATATCAATTCGATTTGTTTAGATGGATTACGCCTTCAAAAACGAATAAGACTTCAACTTTGATTCACTTTTTTGTACATTGATTTTTCGAATGAATGGTGCCAACTTTTTTTTAAAGTTAATTTTTAAAAGTGTAACGCTTTGTGACGATCTATTTACCGCCTTTTAGTTACAATCAAAAGAATGGCAAATATGAAAGGCAAAGGGAGTATGATAAGTTCAAAGCGCACTTTTTAGAAAATGCATTGATTAGTAGAGCAGAGTTTTACTCTAAAAAGTCTAAGTCACATTTCGACCGGAAAATCTAACTTTGCAAATTGGATTGTTTCACAAGCTTGCTTACTGCTCAAATCAGCACAAATGCGATTCTCAGTTACAAATTGACCTTTTGCACGCAAATGATCTTCATTTGGATTTTTTTCTGCTTTTTATTGGTGTCAGAGTCATCTTTTCGATCCAGTTGTCATCATTCTCTCTCACATACCGATTTTTGTGCCGCTTCTATAATAAATCGTGTAGGTCGGAAATCGGTTTACAGAGTTTTCAAAAAGAGATCGAAAAGTTCGGTTGTTACTTTTAGTAACAACCGAAGTTTTCAAAAAAACGGATTTAAAGTTGATGTTGAGAAATAAATCTGAAAATTTTGGAGGGTTGAGGATCTAAGAAGTACTTAAACTGGAGAAAGGTATACAACTAATACATTATAGATAGCGTTCTTTCAATTGAATATCAAATGAAAACAAGAAAATCAACAAGACAAACAAAGACAAAGAACAAAAAGAAAGACTCGGGCAAAACTTGGATTTTGTGGTGACAAAAAGCATTTTGTCTCATTGTTGCAGAAATTTGAAAACTAAATAGCTAAATAACAGCTTTATCAGTAATCATACCCAAAATGCACCAAATCCAACCGATGTCTGGTTCAGTCGCCATTTCCCTGAAGAAATTGAAACGCTCACTTGACTCGCCCTTTTGTGATCTTCTGTTCCAGCACAAAGAAATCATCAAAAACTGGATTTTTGCGATCATCAAAATGGCTTTTTAGCAATTTTTTGCAGTTTTCCTTAAGTCATAGCTCAACTTCTGATTTTTATTCAAGTTTAAGTTCTATTGGAACATCTTTCGAAATTTCAGTCCATCTTTTGGCTTTTTTTTGATCTCACTGATCCCAGTTTGAATGATGATCTTACAAAAGCCACCGTCTGCCATGGGAAATCTTGATCTTCATCAATTTATTTATCATGCGAATCTTTGCTCTTATTCTACTTGTTCAGCTTTTGGAATCTACACGGTTCAGTGAGTTTATTGTTCACTTATTACTTACAAAGCAAACAATAAGCTCACCTAGCACCTAGCTTAAAAATTAGCTGGTTTGACTTTTGTTAGAGTAGAAACAGCTAACAATGCTCTTAATTTGCTGAATCTTGAGCTTTAGGGAATCTTCCAACACTCCAAGGATCGGTTCAGTCTTTGGTTGGTTAAACTTTTTCACAAAAATACAAAAAGTTGGTCTGTTAGGTAACTTTCGAAAGTTGGCACGTTTTATAAAGTGGATTACCTAAAAGACTCATTCTCGAGGTTCTATGCGTAAGCTTACTCTACTCTTCGCAACTTTTAGGTGGACACTCATTTCGGGCTACAGTACTGCAAAATACCAAAGACTGGCAGCACGATAACCCGAACAATCCTTTGTGACATCTTTCGAGAGTATCGAGGAATGAATTTCACCCAAGAATTCACCGATAATCAAACTGGTGAAAAGTTCGTACCAGTTTATGACTTGTTACGTTTAAACTTTTAAATTGACTTCCCAATGGTGAGAATTGGGCAAGAATTGAGCAAGAATCTATCAACGACGAAGTTTCGATCGTAGCTCAATTTTGTCCACATTGGGAGGACCAAGTCAAAATAAACAAGCCTGCGGCTTCTTCCGTCATTCAGAATACCCGACAAAAGCCAAATTTAGTGCTTGTGTGGCAAATGCATGGTTTCCCGATGATGGGGAAACAATTTGGAAAAAGCCACGCCGTGTGACGAAATTCACGTTAGTGCGAGATCCCGTTGACCGATTCGTTTCGTTATATGGACATTTTTGCGGGTTAGATTAACAGAAAAATCACAATCAGTTCAATTTAACGGTCATTGCAGAATCCTGAAAAGATGCGGTGATCGAAGTATTTCCGCATTCGCTGCCTGGGTTTACAACATCTTAAAGAACAAAAACCAAAACCCAGCCCTCAAAGTGAAAGAAAATGACGATCTTACTCCCCAAGACTATAGTGGACTCTACTTTCATGCGCTTCCGCAAACAAGGTAATTTTTAATACAACTCTCAAATGTAAATGATTTAGATTTTGTGATCTCGATCTAGAACCCGAAAGCTTTTACATAATCAAGTATTCACATAATAAACGACAAATGAGAAGAGAATTTATACGGCTTTTCCGAAAAGCTCGAATTCCACGGAACGTTGCGACGAGAGTGAGTGAAAGCGCTTTCTAAAAAGTGTCAACTTTTGAAAACTACCGTGTTCTTGCCACTAGTTATTATTCAAACGAAAAAACGAAACGAGTCACTACTAGTATTTATTCAAATTAGATCAAGCTTAGGTAGATTGGTAGATGATTAAAAGTAGATAAATTATAGATAATCAGAGCCAAGGTTACGGTCGATTTCGAAAACGAGCACATTTTGGGTGCTCTTGGATGAATCGTTGAAATAATTCTTTCAGGCGCTTCGACATTTGGTTCGATCCAGCACCAGACATCAGAGCAATACCGTTGAAGAGAAAGATCTGTTCCGAAAGGAGCTGCTCAACACTCAACAAACGAGAAATCTCCTCTATGCTATGTATCATCAAGATTATAAGATATTAGGATTTAAGTCGATTATTGATGATTAATAAAATTTGAAACTTTAAAACTCATTCAATTTAAAAGCTTACAAAAGTACCGTCGACCCTCGATGTAACGATTTGTTCGGGCACTTGAAATCGTTATATCGAAACAATTAAATCAACGTTTTTCAAACAACACGTTATATCAAGTTATTAGAACGTATTTTTCAACAAAAAGTAATAAATAACATTAAGAAAAAGTCAAAGCTTATTGAAAAAAATCTGTTAACGAGGCTTGCCTATTAGTTGTTATTAGTTAATGTCAATAAAAG